AAAACATGAATGATTATTACACCAACCCCAAGCTATAGATTATGCATGAAATCTCACTACAAGAACGCACTTTGAGTCCAAAGTGTTGTAGAAACTTATCATAATTGTAATTATTTATTGGCTTGATTTTTTCATTTCACAGGCTTGATCCTAGAATAGTTGGGATCAGACGTTTGTTACAAAGTAAGAGATGTAATCATAAAGTATAAAGGAAAAACTCCAAACAATTATACCTTTTGTAAATTGGACAACTCGTTGTGCGAATCCTCACTACCTTCTAATGCTTCTTCCTCGTCTAGTGTTCGTTCATCATCAAAATCATTTACCATCATCTCCGTAGCAGGACCCATGTCAAAATCTCTATCTGCCCTATAAAATGACAAATTCTTTTAAAATTAACATAAATATCATTAATGAAATATCTTTAATGAATAATGTATTTTTAATACAATTAATTGATTATATAAAATTTTATTGATAAACTTACATGTTTTGAATATTTATGTTAGCGAAGACAGGATCACACCATAAACGTAAGAAAGTAGGTATACACAAAGATCGTTGGATCTCATGACCATTAACATATAAACGATTTACCTTCATAAACTTGACATAATGCACGTGCTTAGCACAGAGTTTAATACTACACTATCATTCTCACATCTATTGTCTAACACAATAGTCAACGGTACTATACACAATCTATATATATTTAGAACAACGCGAACCTAACCTCCAATTATCGTAATATTTTCAATCTATTCTTGTTCATGTTGTTGTAATTCCTTAGAAGCAAACAATGATAATAACAAAGTAACACTCAACATTGTTTATCTTTTATACGTCATTTTTCGTCAAATTTCACTCTATCACTAAATTTTTCGAATTTATATACGACTCATCCAAGTGTAACAAATGTCAGTCAACAAAGTATTAATTAACCCGATATTTTTTACAAATTTTTAATACACAATTGCACACAATATAATATAATGATCAAAAGGATTTATAGAAACAGCCTAACAAAAAAATACATATATGAAAAAGTTTAAAGATGCACACCCCATTATTTATATCTACGCATATAATATGGTGGCGCGTACCGCGATATCATAATATAGTACAATATAAGAGTAATCTTCAGTGAGCGGGAAAATCGTGAATATCTTTTACGATGACCAACGAAAGTAATTTTATGCTATTGTAAAATATCTTTATAATTATTAATTATCTTTTATTTTATCGAAAATTAAATTAATGTTTAATTCATATTTTTAAAATGTATTTTGTGAAATTAATAAATATACAAAATTTAGCTGAATTTAATATAAAGTTTAAGATTCAAAATTTAATAACCCTTTAATGATTAAAATTAATTTTAAATAAAATATTTTTAATAAATCCTTTTCTAGGATTATGATCTTTGTACTTTTATTGTAAAAGTAGATGCGTCACCATTTCGACTTTAATTTCATTAGTCGAATGCCACGTGAAACATGTTTCGTCTATCCACAATATATAACAAAATACTGGTAAAAAAATTTTTATTTATTCTTCAGTGAAAATAAAGCAATGAATATAATTAAACATAATACTATCTTTTCTTCCGTTTTAGGTTAATCGTGAAGGAACACGATTTTCATTACATATCGCAAGGTAATCATTTTATATTAACTTATTGTTTATTGAAAGTTCTTAATATTATTAACGATTAACTTTCAGTTAATTAGATTACGATGGAAATATAAATTTAATAATATAATATATACGTAAGAGGAGATATATGATCGTATCTATCGATCGTATCGATCATTAGTATTTTCAAACCTGCAACATATTTTTAATAATAGATATAAAATTGATATTTAAAACATTTAAATTGTACTTTTGATACTTCATAATTGAACTAAGAACAAAACATTTAAGCTATATATAATAGAAAATACGAAATATACAGATAAGAATATTATATGTTCTCATACATACACACACACGCGCGCGCGCGCATATATATATACATTATACAACAAAGATGTACAATGTAAATATTTACATTAGAAATATTGATTTTCATAGCTTCTTTCATATATATAATTATATTTAAGGATTCATACTATATTTATTTGAAGAAAATATACAAATATGTAGCTTATACTTTTTCATGTTTTCAGGAACACTTTAACATCTAATACATCAGATGAGTATCAATACATACAAATGAGTAAAGTTCCTTATATGCATTTTCAACCATCTTTACCTCGTTTACCAATTCCTAAACTTGAAAGTTCATGTCAAAAGTATTTAATTGCACAGCAACCTCTTATAACACAACAAAAATTATGTAATATTGAATCTTTGATTAAGAATTTTCTTAAGGAAGATGGACCTAAATTACAAAAGGAACTTATTCAAAAGGATGCTAAAAATCGTCACACAAGTTATATAAATAAACCTTGGTTTGATATGTATTTAAAAGATCGTAAGCCCTTATCTATTAATTACAACCCTTTATTAATATTTAAACTCGAAACTGATGCACGGTACAATGATCAGTTGGTAAAATCCACTAATCTTGTTATATCTTCATTAAGATTTATGAAATCTTTAAGAAGTGAAATTTTAGAACCAGAAGTATATCATTTAAATCCTACAAAATCAGATACTAAACTCTTTAGGAAAGTCACAGGATTACTTCCATCTAGTATAAGTTGGTATGGTGCTTATCTGTTTAAGGTAAAAATATTTAAATAAAATTTGATCCAAAAATAACATCAAAGATATGATTAACAAAAATACTAATAAATAATGACATTTAGTCATGTATTTTCTTAAGCTATTAGAAAAAGAAATTATTCTCGCAGGCTTTTCCATTGGATATGTCACAATATCCCTATCTCTTCAATACAAGTAGAATACCGCAACTAGGAAAAGATAAAATTTATCATGATGCCACAGGACGCCACATAATAGTGATGTCTAAAGGTCATTTCTATACACTTGATGTTTTGGATGAGAATAACTATATTCGACAACCTTGTGAAATAGCTGTTTCTTTAAAATCAATTTTGGAAGATAACAGACCACTCAATGAATATCCTATTTCCATTTTAACAACATTAGAACGCAATAAATGGGCATCTGTAAGATTACATTTAATGAATATAGGAAATGAAAATATTTTACAAAAAATAGATTCAGCTATATTTATTTTGATATTGGATGATAATCATATTGGTGAAGATATCAACAAATTACAAAAGTCATACCTTCATGGTGATGGAACAAATCGTTGGTTTGATAAGTCTTTTTCTTTAATTGTTACAAAAGATGGATATGCTGGTTTAAATTTTGAACATTCTTGGGGAGATGGAGTAGCAATTCTTAGATTTTTCAATGTAAGATACAAAGGATAAAGATTAATATAAATTTATTAATATTGATATAAAATATTTTAATGAAGAAAATAAGAATTATAAGAATTTTAATGCACTATTTTATATTGTTGTAGGATATAAAAGCAGATATGTCAAAAAAACCAAGATTTCATCCTGAAGATGTAAAAGATCTCTCTAGTAGGCATGCCTTAAAAGTTGAAAAACTGGAATTTGTACTGGATTCAAAGATTAAAGACATTATTAATGAGGAACAAAAAAATTATGATAAGTGGATAAAACAATTACTTGTTGATCATATTATATATGAAGGATTTGGAAAAAATGAATGTAAAAAAATAGGAATTAGTCCAGATGCAATAATGCAGTTGGCGTTTCAATTAGCATTATATGAACAGGAAGGTCAAATGGTACCGACCTATGAATCTTGCAGTACTGCAGCTTTCAAACATGGGCGCACTGAAACTATTAGATCATGTACATTGCAAACTAAAGCTGCTTGTATAGCTTTGACACAAAAGAAATTGGATGTTTCTACAGCAGAACTGAAAAAATTGATTTTTGATTGCAGTAATATACATGGTATACTTATAAAAGAAGCTGCCATGGGTAAATTCAATTAATTCTTAACTTTTAAATGTTTTTTTACTTTATAAAAATCATTTGTTAATATATTATTATCATACTGTTACAGGACAGGCATTTGATAGACATTTATTTGCCTTAAAATGCATATGTGAGGAATTAGGCATACGTAAGCCTGCTATATTTGAAGATCCATCATATGATACTTTAAACCATAATGTATTGTCTACATCTACTTTAGCAAGTCCTGCATTACTTTCCGGCGGTTTTGGACCTGTTGTAAATGATGGATATGGAATTGCGTAAATTAATATTTTTAATTTCAAGATATATAATAGTATAAAGATATTAAGGTAAAATTCCTTAAAATTAAAATATTTCTTCTACAAAAAACAATGTATTTTTTAGGTACTTTGTACAAGATCATAAGATGAAAACTATGGTTAGTAGTTATCAAGGTAGTCGTAATGCCAATAATTATATAAAAAGCTTAGAGAAAGCATTAAAAACAATTCACACAGTATTAATAAGTAAATAATCTGAAATTCTAAGCATATGCAAATGTTATATGTAAATTATAAATATTAGTGCCTACTTAAATGTTGTTTATAAGGTATATTATACACAAATAACATCACTATTTTATATATTTTACATTTAACATATTTGTTATATTGTTATTTATACAATCATTCATATTTTTATACAGTGTTGAATAAATATTTTTTATTCTCTCTATGAATCTTAACTCATTCTCCAACTTCCACTTAATGGTAAGATAAATCGTATTATTTGTAAATATTGCAATAACTGTTACATTACAAACTTTACGAAGAAAGAGAATTTTATATGATTAAAAATATTTCCTGATTCATATTTGTTATTTTTATGAACACAAATGCAACTGGAAAATGAACAGTAAATATGTACATTAAATTATATATCGATTAAAGCATTATAACTTAAATTATTATAATATACTTTAAATTACAATAATAAATGTGACAATGCCAAAAAATCAGCAATACACAGGAAGTTGTCAAACATTCAAATGTTTGTCCACAAATAAGTCCAAAAAGTTTGTCTTATGTCTATGTTATACGAAGTTATATTTTATGTGCATCATCTATGAAACATTTTGGTATCTATTGATAATATTAAAGAAGTCTGTTTTTCTATATTTATTTACCCAATAATGATAAAATATGGAATGAAACATGATGAATCATAATGTATTATTTCAGGCATTGTTTTAATAAATGCATTTATGCCTTGTTCCCCATTTTCACTTTTGATGTCTACGAAAGAAATATATATATATATATCATAAACAATTACATAATAATATTTAATTAATTATTTATATTCAATTGTTACTTACCATATAAATACCCACAATTAATCCAAAAAGACCTATAGCTGATCCAAATATTTCAACTATAAGAATCTTAACAAAAAGTGCAGAGTTTGCTGCATCAGATAATGCTGCACCAGAACCAACAATACCTACAGCTATGCCGCAAAATAGATTAACAAGACCTACTGCAAATCCTGCTCCAAACATCAAATAACCTGCCATCCAATTCTGACTTTTCACGTCAGAATTCTCGGGTGAATTAACTTTTTCGTAAGTAAATTCTTCAAGCATGCCAGATAATACAATGGCAGTAATCAAACCATAAATAGCTACTGCTTCACAAAATATCACAGAAATTAAATTTTTGGTCTTTATTCTAGGTGCTTTTACACCACCACCAATAATAGATACTCCTGTTGTATGGATGCCTCTAAAACAGAATAATAAATTTATAGTAAAATTAAAATTATTTTTTAATACCTAAATATCATAATATTTTATAACTTACAATGCTGCACCAACAACAGATAACGCAACTGCAAATCCAATACCTAAAGTAGCCCACATATATGGTGATGTACCTTCCAGAAACCTAAATAATAAAAATATTTCATACCATTTTAATTTTATTTATCTGAATTAAATTATAAAAATCCTTTTTCTTATATCTTACCATGCAATGCTGACACGTTCACCTTTACCAGTAAATACATGATATAACACTATAACAATTGTTAAAATTTAGTTTTATACAAAAACTGTTTATAATATACAGATGCTATTATATAATCATGTATGTGTAATAAAAAATGGTAAATATTATAAAATTATTAATTATGAAATAATTGTAGACATACCTAAAATTGTGATTGTAATAGAAGCAGTAATCACAAAAGTGGTTCCTAATATATTTCGCATTTGAGCCATTTTTTTAATTTGAGTAGAATCTTCTTCTTTACACTAAGTATGTATGTGATAATCAATATATTTTACAAAGAAATTATATTAATTTGTAGTTATTAAAGAAATAGATACTTCATATATTGATATATTCACAGAGACGCACACACACCCATCATCATGTGACTGTCTACTGCTGTGTTGCTAACTAGGGTGGGGGTCAAAGTAAAATTTTAGTTGTACTCTCCCAGTATTATCGTCTAGATAAAACAGACAGTATCAGTTAAGCATTACCTTGTGGCTGAAAAGTGTACTAAAAGAAAACAGTGGCTCCAACTAGTGCGACTAAACAAAACTGATTTATAAAGTTGCGTATATGACATACATACTTATGCGCACGCGTGATATGACGTCAAAAATCACGATTTGTATTCTATGGTGACTAAATTTTTTTATAAAATTTCGTACTTTATTTACAATAAAATCATAAACAATAATTTTATTTTCATTCTATTTCTTTTCCCAATAAGTGAAAAACTTGCAACTCTGTGTACGCTTATACATTTATAAAACGTATTGCGCGCTCGCGCACGATGTATAGCGCATGAATATATAAGACACAACCAATCAAGAGCAAAGATAGATTTGGTATACAATATGGCGTCACTGTATAGCTTTCTGATTGGCTGAAATGTCTAGGTTGAAATTTATACTTTTGTGTGCAGTGGATGCATGATAGTGTAACTTTGAATCGATTGGTCAAGAATCCATAATCTTCAGAACCAATGAAACTCTTAAAACCAGTAGAGCCACGGGCACGCTCAATAAAGGGCGCTAGTGTCTGTCAAGTGTCACAGCCGTTCCCTGTCTCCTCAGTATTGTGACTTAAATCGGTGATTTAATTAGGAATAACCGTATTTTTTTCTAGAATTTGTGCAAACTTTAAGCAATAATGACCGACAAGAAAGGTAACTATATGCCGTAATCGCGCAGTACGATTAGCGATATGTGTTACATTCGTTAAGATTATCCCGTGTTTTCGAGTCGCGAGTAACAACTTGTCACTCGTATGACGGAAAGTTTCTTATGTCAGCGATGCCGACCGACACCTGCGAGACACGGTGTACGTTCGATTGTATTAGAGCTCGTATTGTTGTTACGCGATCGGATCACCGTCGTACATCGACGAGAAAAAACTCAATTCTCTCTGTCTTTAGTGACAGATAAATCAATACCGCATACTGTGTGTGAGAAATACAAAATGGCTTCCAGAGTTTGTCCCGGATAATTCTTGCGTTATATTTTTATTTCCAAAATTTAGTTTGTCTCGAATATAGATTTGGTTTCTTATTTTAATGAAAATATCAAAGGATAAGTGGATTGAGACGATTAAATACGATCTCGTCAATGTCCTCCTCGTTAGGTTAATGATAATACATATTCAACGTGCAGCATGCATCTGCATTTACGAATTACGTACGCTCTACAGGTTTTTGACAATATCGCCTAATAGTGCGCCATTAATTGTTTGTCTTCGAGAAAATATCCAAAATAATTGAATTTTATTACAAATTAAACGTATATTACATTATAAAAAATAATTTAATTTATTAATGGAGGAGAATCTTATTAGATTACACTTCTTAAATATCTATTCCATTGCGAAAATTAAAGTTATTATCTTGATATAAAAAAAGATTAAATAATGTTATGAAATTTAATATTATAATGAAATAAAATATATTCTCATAGTTTTTTTGTTGAGCAATCATATGAGACTGATATTTTAGTAAAAATATTATCATTGAAAAATTGTTTAAATAAATTTGACAGTTTTATATTTATATATCTTGATAATTTCTTGCGTCATTAATTTGCAAAAATTCTAATGCAAATATAATTTACAAATTACATATATTATATATATATATATATATATATATATATATATATGTATATATATATGTATAGTATATATATAGCATATATATAAGATATACATATAGAGCAAAAGCAACTTAATTATCTAAATTTTTATTTATCTAAATTACATATATTTCTGGAAGCCATTTAATTGTAATTTTTCATGATATTCTAAAAAGATATATAAAAGATAAGTATTATGAAATATATGAGTCTTAATATGGATCTCAAGTCTGTATTAGAAACTTGATTATGTCAAAAACTTAATTAAGTTCCAAAATTAATTCATTTAAAATTTATAAGTTATTGATATACATAGTATGCATATTTGATTACAAAACCTAAGAATATAATATCAGTTAGATTCTAGTTGAATCAAAAAGTAATATCATATTACTTTCTCAAAAAATGTATCTATTATATAAAATAAGTTCATCATAAAACACGAATACATTGATCTTGATGTCACTAGAGGGAGCAGAATAATCATATATTAGTAATTTTGTTTGAGAAGCAAATTTTTTTAATATCCATAACATTGTTAAAAGTACTCTATCAACTCTTTAAGTTTTCAATCGACTTAAAACCTTTGAGTTTAATTAATCTCTATGCATGTTACTTTTGTCACAAGCGCCATCCCTAATCAGTGCATCACCAACATAATAATTTTGTGCAGATCAAGTATTTAATTTGTCGTTGCAAGCTCATTTAAGATTTCTAAGAGAATACTCATTTGACTGTCATAAATTCTGTTGTATTTCCCTCGTGTTGACCTTTAATGGGGAAGAAATTAAACACTCAAGCGCTACTTCGTTACACCAAATCCTATCTTATCGCTAACCAGGTGAAGTGTCAGAGAGTATAGCTTTAAGGATATGTAAAGTTTAGTCTGTAAGTTAAAGAAATTGATATGGCCCTTTGCGATACTCCTTGAAATATTGAGTATCAAGGATACGCTGCCTGCAAATCTGCGACCTTATTACCGTGATGGTATAGCCACTGAAGCGAAGAATAGTGCCTACAGTTGTGGCTGTCAATATGTTTGCAGTGGACCATTACAAAGACGATTTGATCCCAGTCAGTAGGTGGAGCTTCGGAGACCGGCGTTCGCGCAGCTTAAGCCACGTATCTAACCTCACCTTACTTAATATATTACCTTAAATCACTACGTGTTTATATACCAACATATATTACGTATATTACATATATATATATACCCACACTTACATGCATATATACATGCATTATATACACACACATATACACAAGACACGAATACCACTTAATATATATATATATATATGAAGATATAGACGCGCCGTGCGCCTCCTGATTCAAAAAGTGATGAGAAATGAAACGTAACTTCCGTTTCCGGCCCGGGTTTCCCGCCTACAATCGTCAAGAGTTCGTTACTCGCGTCTTTAAAAGTCTCGAGAGAACGGATGGCCCTTAAGATCTGCGACAGTCCCGGTAATTCGCAATCATGTGTTAGGATCATTTCGGGACGATAAGGCTCGGTCACATCGCTTGTGCTTAGCACGTTAAGTACCACTTAAGCTTGTAATCGTTCTATCCATGGTATCACCTTCAATCTCGATTTTATCTTTCTGAAGAATAAACTTGTTCGTCATATTATACGCGATAACTACCAATGAGGTAAACTTCGTTATTGGAGCTTATATGCAATGAAGCTAATACTTTGATAATTCATTAATTCACCCTTGATTTTTTCTCCTTATTCTTATATTTATTTTTTAATTTAAAATTAAAAGTAAAACTTCTTTCGTTGATTTAACCTTCCATAAGATTGAGATCATAACAACTTTCTTAATTCAACTTTCACTTCTTCGATAACCAATTGCTTCCAACTGTCTCCTTAATTGCTATCATAACGATTTTATTATAAGACGTAATTATTAAAAAGCATAATATATTTTATATAAATAGTGTATTTGAATTAATTGAATTGTTTATTTGTCTATTAAGTAGTACTTATCCCACTGTCTAGCGATCATCGACCGATTTACGATCAATCGCTACGTGGAAGAGATGTAGCCGTGCCTATGTTTTTTGTTTTTTTTTTCCACTAATTCCATCATCGTTTATTCCAGGCAGTACACGCCAATAAAAAAGACGCACGATCAACCGGTATCGAGGATCGAGAGAATTTCCCATGTGTAAAGAAAAAATTCGTTGAATGGCCGAGGCACGGAAGTAGAGATTCCTTCCGTGTTTTAATGGTAGAGCATAAATAGTTCTCGATGAGATAGGATTGCGGCGCGTGCTTTTGTCAGGATACGAAATTAAGATAGGCAAAGATCACTTTTAGGATCACACTCACCGGCGTATTTGTAAGTTTTTTGAGAATGCGTTTAAACGTGACCGAGTAAAATACTTTTTGAATTGGAGACGTCGGCTGCTATATATCCAAATCAATATGAACGTAAGATATTGATATGGGTGTACCAATATTTCGTACTGAAAACGTGGTATTGGCTGATTGCTTAATTTATTCTTTTTTGTCTTTTCGTTTTACTTTTTTCTTTTAACTTTTTTTTTTCTACAGTGTCCGCCGTGTCCAAACGAGCGTGCGTGATGATCTTCATCCGAATCGATCTGATCAATGAAATCATGAATTACGTTAAATAATAATAATAATGATGATGATAATGATTATATTACGTTCTAGAGATGAAGGGGGAGAAAAAAGAGGAAGTGTTAAAAGTTCGATGACTAGTCACGCGATAAAGACACGGCGTGACACCAGGGTGGACACGAATGCTGTATCTAAAAGCTCAGCGTATATTTATAATACTTCTACTTGATAGAAACTTTGTAGCTCACTTTTAACAATAGTGCATGTTGCTTTTATCTCGGGCTACAAGTTTCTCGATATTACAAAAAATGGAAAGAAAAAAGGTTGTATAATGGAAGAAATAAATTCATATTTGTTCTCTCGCGTAATTATATATGTAATATTATTAAATGTTTGTGCCGCGAAAATGTTAGAAAAATTAAATTAAAAACAATGAACGTCCTTTTCGTTAAGGAGATTAAATTATGTTTTGCTATTTAACGAAACTTGTGGTCGATATTGCATGTTTGTAGTTTGAAACATTATTCTTCCTTCGACAATAGTAGCGGACTTAGTTCTTTCTATATTATAATTATTGAACTATTTGAGTATATAGACTGTGTATATATATATTTATATATTTATATATATCGTATATATATCATATATATGTATATATATGTGTATATATATATATGTGTATATTTCGTAGATACAATTATAATAGTTATTTTTTAATAAGGATAAAAGTTGAAAGAAAAACGTAATATCATGATCGCTCGTCGTTCAATTGAAAAAAAAGAAAGCAAGAGAAAGAAACAAAAAAAAAATAAAAATAAAAAAAAAATGTAATAAAAAAGAAAAGAATATTTTAACACGAGCTTCGTTGCCGAAGAAAGACAAAGAATGAAAATGAAAGGGAAGCGTGTTTGCGTGTGAAGTGTGGAATTATATATAATATATAGACGATAACGTCGAGTGAAATTACGTTTGCCTGCATCAATCGGTTAATGTGCAAGTATAGCTTTGATAATTTTTACGTATTTGTATTTTAGTTTGCATGTTTGGAACGCGAAGTAGAGATATATGTATGTATCATATATACATATATCTGAAGGGTGAACAAGCATCATCGAATAAGATTGACAAATTACTTTCATCTTCTTTCGTTTATGAAGAAATAAGAAAATATTAATAACAATTCATTGTATTAAAAGAAGAAGAAAAAAACGATGACGCTTGAATCCCTACTTGATATGTTGCTATGATATTTATTATGCATGCTTTTGATATATTATATATTAGAAATTTTCTCTGAATTCATTCTCTCCGATAATAATAATAAAAAAAAAAGAATAAAATATAATAAAATAAAATAAAAACAATGAAGGCTGATTCTGATCTATTATACAATAATTTAATTAATTGCTTCGATGATCAATACAAAAAGATTCTGGATCATCAACGAAATACTCGCTTTTTTTTTATAAATGGAGAGATCGAATGAGGACATTTTTACAATTTTGAATGAACTTTTTGTCCATGTAATCAAATAGTTTTGTAGTTTCTTTAAACTATTTCCAAGAGATCTTCCTATTCCTTTCGGTTTTTCGCTATTGAAATGATAATTTTATTCAATATATACGAAGTACCTAGATATCCATAAATCGTTCTTTCCTTTATTGTATTGTTTTTTGTCAATTGGCTGGACAGAAAGAAAGAGAAAAACAGAGAAAGAGAAAGAATAAGAGAGAAAAAGAACGAATTTGTCGGGGCATCGAGATTAGGATCATAGGAATTTCTCTCGCAGTTTTATTTGCATGTGCATGTGTTTGGCAGACACTATACCATGTATACTGTTAATAGTGAGCTTAAATGATATAGTGTTTTATGAAACTTTAGTCAAAAGTTTGAGGGTGTTAATGCCTCCATTATTGAGAAACGGGTAATGGTACGGGAGATGGAATTTTTTGATCTCGATGACGAGTATAAATCTTAATCGATCTTTACAAATATGACACGACGTGATTTTTCGATCTGAATATTATCTATTATCTAACTTAGAAAAGAAAGTTATTGACGACGCGAAGACTCGTTTAGAGGTAAAAAAAAATCGTCTTTCATACCGGTCACTCGATTTTTACTTTGGAGGCACGACTGTTCCACCGAAGCATTTCGATAAATTATCGTTATTAGCAGAAACAGATGGACTACAATATTATGATTGATGGCAGTGTTCGAAATATTGCTCATCTTTTTTTTTTTACGTTATGTTTACCGAAACAAAAAGGAAAAAAAAAAAGAAAAGAAAAAGCAAGAAATTAATACGAAAACCTTAACCATTTGGCTCTGACGCGAACTGGGTCGAATATGCTCATTGGGACAAATCGAGGGAGAGAGAAAGAGAAAGAGAGTTGAAAGAAGGAGACGGGGAGAGGGAAAGAAAGAAAGAGAGAGGGAGGGAGAAAAAAGAGAGAGAACAGGACACTTTTCAAGTTACCCAGTAAAACTCGTATTAGCATTAATATTATAATCAATTGTTATTGGATTCGATGATTGTTTGCACCGTGGCACTGACACATAAAACTTATTATTCTTTGAAGGCCGCTTCGATACGACCGATAGAGTAACGAGCGCGTAGATGAAACTTCTTTTCGTTTCTTCCTTTTTAAAATGTCACGAAGAATCTTTCTTACGCGTGAATAGGGAAGAAAAAGAAATTATCGACAATTTGTGAATAGGAGAATCGCAAAAACGTGGGAAGGTCACAGAAAATATGACGTAGTAGCGCTCGTTTCCATGCTCGATGATGGAGCGGCCTTCAATTACCATGGAAAATTTGGTGTGGGCTGACGTCTATGTTAGAATACAACATGTCCATTCACTGCTGCTGAGCTTGAGCTAGTTATCATACGCAAGTTGTACCGTTTAATTAAAAAATTGATTCTTGGCCCGTTCCGATTTTCGTGAAAGGATAAAAAGGAATAAGAGAACAAAGAAAAAAACAGAGAGGAAAAGAAAGATATTAATTAATTAAATAAAAAATAAAATAAATAAAAGAATTCGATAATATCGGGTACACTTTGCGTATGTTAATCGCGACGGCGCAGGGCATAATTTAGACTACTAAAAAGAAAAAAATTGGGCGTTCTGCGATGGTGTCGAGCGGTTCGTTAACGAGCAGCCCTTTCACTATTACTACCACTACTACTACTATACTATTTATATACCACTATACTACTATTACTACTACTATTACTACTATTACTACTACTATTAGTATTACTACTACTACTATTACTATTACTACTACTACTACTACTACTACCACTACTCTACTACCACGCGATGAAATAAGTTTTTCATTAACGATCGTCGAGCATGAGGCAAGGAGCGCCCAATTAATAATATATTACTACGCAATTATAAAGAACTTTTAATCATGTTTGATCTTTATTTATGGATATTTGCAGAAATTTGTGGTTTGCTGAATCTTGTCACGACTTTTTGAATGTGTGGAACTTGATATATATATATATATACATACATATATATATATATCTATATACATATATTATATATTTTCATCGTACCACTGTACTCATTGTATAAATTACACATTCACCGCCCGAACATGACTATTCGGTCAACTTGTGAAAGTTCAATTGAATTTGAATTATTCTTACGGTTAAAATGCCTCACCTAATCGAATTTTGATTACTGGGCTTGTTTTAATATCACTCTTTGAAACAAACCATTATCCTTCTTACCCTTGGCTTTATTTTAGCTCTGTTTTTTGTAATTTCTGTTTTTCCGTAAAGTCGGACCTGAGAGAGCATCGTAAATGTGCGACATAATTAGCACTTGCAAATATAGTTATAGCAGAATATCCAAATTTAGTGATCGCAAATTCCTTTCTTATATTATCCGCAAGGTTTAATTCGAGATTTACAACAAAACTTATAAGTTTAACTCGATCAATAGAACACTTTGATTTTTTTCTCTGATATGTGATAAATAACATTTAATGTGCTAATGAGAATGACGAATGGAGAGATCATAGCTAGTCTACTTTTTTCTTAATTGAATGTTTTAATTTAATACAAACGATAGCAGTTTATGGGTCTTCTCAGGTTTGGCTATTTTAGACGAATGTATTTGGCTTTTACCTTGATTGCGTAACGCTATTTGCTTTGAGATCGGTTTCGTATTATATCTTAGTTTTAGAAGTAAAGGTAGGTCAATTACACGAGTTTTCATTTGAGAATAGTTTATTCATTTAATTTTATGATTGACTTCCTAATGGTTCTTTTGACCAGGCATTGATAATCGCTATTGTTGTACTTTACTATTATTTTTTTTTTTCTTAAAAATAAAAGAAAAAAAAAAGAAAACAATCGGCAGAAATGAAAAACGTTAAAAATGAAATTTCTATGAATCATGTTCAGATGAGGTGAAGACTTTGACATGCATCTAAATCGGATTGATAATTTCAGTATATTAGTGACAAGATATACATATACACCACAGATTGCTCCAGATTTTGAATTCCACCACTTGCCATGTATTTTGAATTAGGATACCAGAAGTCCAACTTGTCTAAGCTATTCTCAAGTGTGACTCGCTTTTAACGACGTTACTGTCGATAATCCACTAACGTGTATAACTTTCGATTGTCCTGTCTTTTTTGTGTGCGATTTCGAAAATGCAATGAATCGAAGTCAATCGATGGAGATCGACGTATCGTGGATTTTCGATAGTTTCGTAAATGTTTTTACTCTAAAGCCTGACTTGTACCATCGAAGTTTATGCGGGATCAGCGATTATCTATAAAGATACTTTTTAAGCGTTTATTGAACGATCTTCTGAAACAATAAAAAAACATCGCGTTTACTCGATAAACTCGCATGGTGACAATAAGGCGGCAATACCGTTCTTTCGGTTATTTCTTTTCACCATTATTTAGTGACTAACATTGTTTGAGCTTTAAATAGTACCTTGATAAAAATGGTGTATGTCATGTGTAAGATATACTTGGGTGTGGGAGTACCACTTGTAGGATCCAAACGTTTCGGATTAACTCCTTGCAATCATAATGTTTAAAACATCAATTGAAATAACAAATAAATGTCGATAGAATATTTTTATAAATTAACTTATATTGTTATAATGTTTGCTACGAGTAAGACGAAGGTGAGTTATCCGTTAAACGATTGGATGCTGACGACGCGACTTACGTGCTCAGCAAGGAAATAAATATCTAAGAACATTGTTAATAAAACAAAGAGAAATAAAGAAAGAAACAAAAAGTGCCACGGACACACGATTTATGCAACGAAAGAAAAGCCATGTTGATCCGTAAAACGAGTCGTCGTTTGTCCTTTTTGGCAGTGGTACCGCGTACCATTGGCTTAGATCGGCCAGTCACAATCGGAAAAATGAACCTTCCTGCATTTTGTATCGCATTATGTTACAGCGTATCCCGTGGCACCGCATCCACCAACAGGTTTTGTTCCGGCCCCAGCTCAACCTGCTACTTATGGTGGTACGCGTAAGGGACACTTTAATATATTTTTAATCTTCCAAGAAGTAAATCTTAAGAAATGAAGTTTCGCTTCGAAGCAAGACTGTGCAATGTCGAGTTTCGTATTATAAACAATATTTGCAAAACAGTTGCAGGCGCAGCACCATATGGAGTATTTCCAAATCAACCCCAATTATATGCAGCGCAAGGACCACCGCCGCCAACATATGATCAGACTCTCACACATCCCATGGTAAGATTATTAATCCTGCTACTTACATAAATATATTTACATATATCTATTACAAGCATTTATAACAAAAATCACATTCTTTTGAAGATGTATCAACCAATGTATGGTCAAGGATATCCTGGTGGATATCTGGCAGGTTATCCTACTGCGTATGGTCCATTGCAATATTATCCACCATTAGCTGCGGCTGCGGCATATTATCCAGCAGCTGCCATGCAACCTGCACCGGTTAGGCCCACGATTATGGTACCTGTAAGTTTCAAGTTAACATTTTTTTTTCTGCTAACTTTGTAAGTTAAAAAAAATCATACTATTTGTAACTAATCGTTATATTTCGTTCAAAGAATGGATTCGATGGTACTCGATTCGATGGTATCTCACAGCCTGTTTTGCCACCACCACCACCGGGTGTTGCTGCGAATGCTGCACAATTAGCTGCAATGGCGGGTCACAGTGTGGCCTTGTCGCAAAAGAAAGGCTCGTTCCTAGGAGGAGGAACGGAGGGCGGTTACACCTTTTGGTAAACCTCTATAACTTTTGTGAAACACTAAGTCTATCGAAGACATTATTGTCGAGATGATCCATGTAGGCAAATCTGATTTGTGTTAGAGCTCTAAACTATTTTCTCATTGGGAGCAGCTATGAACTTAGTATACCAATTACACGGACCGATTGTATGCAATAATCTTACGCGAATAGAGAAATACTTTAACAAGAAGCGAATAACATCATTAAGTATTAATATACGAATAACGTGTTGTAATTGTGATCTCAGAGTAATTGTCAACTATCGATCCGTGTACAGTATAAAAATAATCGTAAAATTAATTATATAATAAAAAAGGAAGACTCGTGCGAAATTCGACAAAGGCAGATCAATGAGATTTTTAAAATTCACTAAAAACCGAACTCATCAAGCTAATATTTTACGAAATAATGTTAGATAATTATTTTTATTTGCTATAAAAAGTTATCTGAACTTATATAATGAATGTTAAACAAGATCCAATGATGCGTCGTTGGAAAATCCGTGAAGCAATCGAGCAAAATATTAATGATTTACTTTAACATCCTTTACCTCTTAAACAATATTTAATGAAGACGCACATGTTAGCTATGTGAAACACATTAAAAAATTTCCAAATATTTAAAATATCTCTTGACTCTAATTTGCTCGATTGCAGAATTTAATGGCACGTTTGCTCTGACGCACGAGATATTCCAAATATTTCTTTCTGTTTCTTTTTTTATTTTTTTTTTTATTTTATTTCTTTCTTTTTTTTTTTTATTTTTTATTTAAATAAGAAAGAAAATCGCGTAAAGAGAGAGTAGGGAACACGGTGTTCTTCTTTTTAGAGTTATCGAGTGAATACGTGCACACAGCGGATGCGAGTTGTCTCATTCGCCTACAGGGATCGATATTCAAAGTGTGTTCTAAGCCTTTTTTAAGCGCGACTTGGTTTCCTGCAAGGTTGGCAGGAGAGCAAAAGGGGGCTACTCGCATGATTTCCGTTATTTTCCACGACCGGTTTTGTGATCGTTCTCACTGGCGTTCTATCTACGAACGACAGAGAGATATCGATCGATTTTGCAAAGTAGACTCGTCGTTACTTTGCAAAAAATCGATGAGTGGCCCTGATGTGTTTAGGGAAAAATACCTAAGTGATATATAAGAGCGTAAATAAACGGAATGCGTGAGAATCGTTCGTGATTGTAATCGGTGTGCTATTATGATACTGAGTCTTTTATTTCGCATACTTTGTTTTTTGTTTTTCCTCCTTTTTTTTATGAGGTACTATTCTTTTCGATCCTTCATCGTTATGTCGCGTAAATAGTGTAATCGATTTTTGGAATGTGTTACGACGAACGTTGCCCGAGGCTCGAGTGCCAAAAAAAAAGAGACGATAACGAAGCGATCGGAGATTCTCGCGTGTTCGACAACTACATAGATACTTACTACTCTACGTAAAAGTACGCACTCTATTCTTTAAAATCAGTAGGAAGTCCCTTCCCTCTAGTTGTTTTCATATTTCTTTATTATTTTTTTTTTCTTTTTAAAGTTATTATTTAATGAAAAACGAAAGTCTTGCCCGCGGCGCTCGGATTTATTCGCACTGGTCAATAAAGCTATTGTTGAAACAGTTACCATGAAAATATATATATATATATATATATACATACATATATATATATATATATATATACACGAGATGATTCAGATCATTCTCTATACTCGAACATTTTTCTTCGATCAGGATAAGGAAAATGGTAACATAAAAATATAATAAGAAAAGGAAACATAAGAATTCTATCTGTTATCGACAATCTTACTATCTCTCTTTCTTTTTCTATAAATATATATATATATATTTCTTTTTCTATAAATATAATACATACATACATGCATACATACATACATTCATACACATATGTAATAAATAACGTGGCAACTGCTTTCGACGAGAGCTCGCGAAGTTGTAACAGATTAGTTGTCTCAGCATTTCAAAGTACAAATCGAACGCGCGTGGATACAGACGAAAAAATACCTAACGACGCGGTCAAGCTTCGAAGTCAGCCATATTAGGCGAGTCTCGCAATTTATTACGTCGGTAGCGACGCAGTGAATTCGTACTGCCGAGAATGTTATAATTAAATGACGCAAAATAGTTGAAAAATTGACAAAACAAAAAGAAAAGAAAACAAAACGAGGAAAGAAACTCGCGCAAAAAAAAATACAAAAATAAAAAAAATAAAAAAAAAAACAGAAAACCTTTAAGAGATTAATAACCTTTTTGGATGATACGTTTCTTTTTTGGGAAAAAGATAGGCGAAAAATTTTCAGAAGATCCTAAAAACAATGGCGGTCACGCAGCTACGAAACGACTGCTTTGCTCCGCGATAATAGCATATAGTAAACAGTGTGGGCCTGCAGAAAGGACTCCGCGTGTTCCATTTGCAGGCACACCATTAAACACGATATTAATTAAGCAATGAAGATCGAAGGAGCTAATTTACAATCGGTGATAGCTTAGGATAGGACCAAGAGACGCAGTTCTATTTAGACATTTTTGAAATCGGTATTCCGGCAAACTTGACCAGTACTCTCATTACGTTTCAGACTGGACTTTTACGAGAATAGATATCGAAAGTGTGTTGTTTTAAACGTCGTGGATTGTTTTCGTATCGCTAACTTAAAAAAATACAAAAACAAAAAAAAATAAAAGAAAAGAACGCTTGAAACGAATTCTTTGACCTTACGACGCGAACGATCTTTTCTCGTTTAAATGTGAATTTCTTATAATAATCATGTTAGAAAGAAATATTTACAAACAAGAACTCCGAAGTTAATCTGCTTAGTTACGAATCCGTAAACAGACGCGGTGAAGAAAAACTATCCACGATCGTTAATCAGCATGTACCTTTATGTTTTCGTTACTGTTCGTGTAGACATTCGATGTGATATGAAACAGCATAAATTCATTTTATCTTCGCGAAATTTACGATTAGACGATTTCTTGTTCGAATTGTGTATTATGATCGAGATCGGTATTGATGTACCATTGCAAAGAGTACATACTTATTCGCAGTTGGCCAAATTTATAAAAGAAAATTATAACAGAATTAGAATTTCCTTTATATCTTTTTATTCTTTTCTTCTTTACCAGACGTACCTAGGGGAAAAAAACAAAAAGAAAAAGAAAAAAAAAATAACTCTGAGATGTGACTAGCGTTTAATGAAGAGGAAGCGCATAATTTCAATGAGATACTGAAAAGAAAGAATCTAGTCCGAAGAGTCTGACTGATTGGGGGTCTGACTGAGAATGGAACTTTATTCAGTAGATCTTTCATCTCAATCGGTACGACAATAGGGTGCGAAATAAATAACGCAGCATTCACTTATAATACTATATACTTTCAGTAATCCAAGATTTGACATTTTCCAAAACTCATGCCATTCCACTACGCGACATTAAAATATATTTGAAATGTAGACGTACACGCGCGCAAACCGCGTGTACGCACACAACATACACAATAATCGCATTTGGTATAATAAAAATAAATAAAAAAAAAAGGACATGTGTACGCGTACGAAAGAGAATGTTCACGTCACTATCGTTAGAGATGTGTGCGAGATACTCTCGACAAACATTTACGTGTCTGCATATCAGCGAAGAGAGCGCGTCTTCGTTCCTAATCAACATTGCGCAATAACAATGCACCACGCCTCTCACAGCCTTTCTCGGGTTGGAGTAAAAAAAATCGAACAGCTTAATTTAATGTATGACTATATTATCAAATAGATATTAAAAATGCAAAAAACAAAACTGGCCCAATATCGAATTTTCATAGGAACTCATACGCAAGCCGAAAGAAAACGAAATATATTGCGTTGATATTTATAATTAAATTATTATTATTTAAATAATTTCTTTGCAGATTTCTACATATTAGATCAGAATTCTTGCGATATATTTTGATCAATTATTTGTACTGAGCGAGAGTGGTGGAAAGGTTTTATATCATGGAAAAGTGTGCAATAAGCGTAATGTCTATTGTAACAATAAAGAAAAGATATTGATTGCAACAGTGAATTTGTTATTATGTTGAGAGAAAAAAGAGAAACGAAAATGTATTGGTGCAATGAACGAATGTACCAGTTAATAAATACCATGATCATGCAGTTCGTTATCTCCTTTTTTTTTAATTCACTATGTCTTATACAAAACGTCATCTTGTACAACTGTTGTTTGCAGGAAACAAATTTGAGAAGAAGCAAGTATTAGATGAGGCAGTACACGTCAAAATGATATCTAAGAAACACGAAGCGGCGGAAAGTTACTCCCAATTTGTAACAATTATTTTTGAAACTATGAATAGAAAAAAATATGACGCTGAATACTGGAACCAATATGTTTAAAAAATAAGTTACAACGACACTGTAATTTCTAGCTATTATATTCTATATTTTTTGGAAAAAGATTAGGAAGCATAATTGAAACAGGTGCATATTTTTTATATATGTACAAATGGAAAAGTATTTATGGCTATAAAAAAGTGACTAAATTCTTTTGAAAATGACAAAGTAAGATCTGTAATAATTGAAATAAAACTACTGTATTTAACTGTAATACAGGAAAACTAACTAAAGTATGTAAAACTTTGAGCATTATATACACCACCAATGCATTAATGCACTTAAAAACAATTTTTCTGAATATTAACAGTTTTCTCTATGTTACATATTTAATACCTATAAAAATTACAAAAGATGCATGTTTCAACAATTGAAATTTGTTTTTTAGTCTTATAAGAATAATTTATTTATCCTTATACTATTTTTAAACTTTACTTGAAAGTACATTTTTCATTGATTTTTCCAACGAAGGCAGTAAGTCGCAATAAGTATCTACGCATTTTGTTGCACATTTATCAAATTCTTCGCTATACCTATCCACTTCATTTTGCGTTAGATTTGAACTCATTTTATCTTTTATTGTGTCATTGCAGTCCATTACACATCTTTGTAATCGATTCTGATGAATATAACACATTAGTACTATGCATTAAGTATTACCATAAGCAATATAAAGATACATGAAGTTAATGTACAAACCTGTATTCTTACAAATTCATTCTGAACATAATTTTGTGCCTCATTTAACGAGGAACTACAATTTTCTACACAGTTTTGTACTTGTAGTATGCTGTAACTTTCATTATCACAACAAGTAGCCGCACATCTATGCATATTACCCTAAAATTAAAAAAGATATCCATTACTTTTATTATAATCTATAAAAGTCCCATTTTTATTAATTATTTTCCATATAAACAAATATATTTTGAATTGACAGTATAGTTTTCAGTATCTAACATCATCTTAAAGCACGAGGTTCAAAGACACAAATAACCTAAATAAAATCTATTATCAATTACCTGCATTTTCCTTAAATATGCTTTGTCCATTTCTTCGATCATTCTAGTCATAAGGTCTTCGACCCGTCTTCTTTGTTCAGCGACCATTTTTTATTAATTTTTTCTAAACATGAACGAAAAAAGTTACAAAATCGGATCGACTTATACGTAACTAATCAATAGGGCACATGGACGTACAAAATGGAACATCTATATATACGCTGGAAAGTAACTACTCTGTACATATGTGAACTTTAGAAAAAGAAGAGGAAAGAATAGATTAACATCGGCATTTTATCTTAATTATATGCATAACCATATGTATAATGTGAAGAATATCTGTTAAACAATTTTAATTATTTTGTTAATTAAATTCATAAATAAAATACATGATATTATTTTTTTACTTTTTATTAATATTTGAAGAAAGAATTTTTAAATAAATATATACGTAGTTATTCGTAGGTGCTTATTCTGTATACTACGTCATTGATACGTTACCATAGAAACGTGTTAACCAATCACTTTTTCTTAAAAAGAGAGTATATGACGATATGCTATTTGCTTCTCTGTCTTCTAGAATTTAAAACATTTACTATGAAGCACGCAGTTCATTCTATATGTAGATAATACAGTGTTAGTGCATGTGGCATCATTTATCTAGAGTGCATACTAGAGAGAGAAAAAGAGAGAAAGAAAAAGAGAGAGAGAGAGAGAAAGAGGGGAAGAGAGAGAGAGAGAGAGAGAGAGAGAATAGCCTTGAGACAACATTGACCTAATTTCATGACAAATTTTATTCGTCCTGTTCACAATTCTAACATACCTGATGTTTTTCAGTTAACACGGAAAATATATAAATATTAGTATATATTTGATTATCTCGAGAATACTCATATAATACGAATAAAAGGTAACGGAATAAGTTGAAAAACTGATCCTGGAAAAAAATTCAATTAGAAAAAAATATACGGTAATATCGAAGCATTATTTGCATGCAATACAAATGCGAATATTTGAATATTGAATTATAATTATAGATAGAGGTCGTTGATATCTAATAAACATTTAAAGTGTTCCGAAATGAATAAGGAACATTTATTATTATACGACAAGCATTTGATACGCGTTGAATAGAACGAAGCGAACACAGATAGGCTCAAGTGGCCGAGGGGCATTTGAACTGACGAGATAATGGACCGTTCGTAGAGAAGGAGAAAGAATTAACGATACCAGACAACATATAGTCGCGAGATGATCGTAAATACGATCATTCAATCGCACTTTCTCGTTTCTACGGTTCCTCTGACGCACGCGTGACGTCAAACGAAAGAATAAGAAACAATTTCAATATACCTTTCCAACCTCATCCTTTCTAAATTTTTTCCCCGAACCGAATGATCAAGCACACACTTATAGATTCTTTCCTACCTTCGATAAGACAACAATTTTACCATCTAACTTCCTATTGTTCCTTATCTCTCATCGTTTATCACCTAAAAACAACTCCCTTTTCCGGTAATTTGAAATAAAGAAATCTCTGCGATTGTACTAAAAAGTATGGTGAACAATCGACAATCGATGAAGACTTACGAAGCGCGCGTAAATTAAAAAAGAGGATGCCCCGATTTCAATGCGTCAAGGAAGAAGCGACGAATCATAGACGAATTAATTAAAACGAGAGATGATATAAAGTGATCTATGACAACGATCGTATGATATATTTACGAAACTACGTTTTTACAAACTCTTTTTAAAGTGAAATAACATGAACGTGTTACTATGAGCGATAAACTACTCTGTCGAAAGACGTTGTGTTGTATTCGAAGAACTCGTCTGAGATTGACAATAACAGGAACAAATAAAAGAAGGGACAGGAAAGAAAGAGACTGTAGAAGAGGGTTACTTTTCTCTTCAAGGAGATTCCTTCAAAGAATAGAGTGGGGACGATTGCTGAGCGCGAACGAACGCATGTATCGAACAACTATCGGGCATACTCCCGTCCGAGTTTCGTGTTTCTCAACGCGACATGGCGTCGAGTTGGATTCTCGATATGTAGCGTCGGGATCGTCCTTGGAAAGCATTCAATTTAAAGTTTAATATATCCGATACGACATGCATACTACGACCCATCGTACCGAATGGAAGGGCACGTTTTAAAGGAGAGACAAGTACGAGGTAACAATTGTTTTGTGAAACAAATTGTATCGATCAACGATCAAAAATCACTTATTCCTCGTTTACATTGTTATTACGCGCTGGAACACGTCGCGATTCTTTGACCACCATTCCGCTGGATCATATCGTTGAATATTTACGTGTAATACGGCAGATACAGCTACCAGAACAGCCACCAGCCACTGAATGGGGTCACCGTGATGAAGTCGAAGAATCTTCCACAAAAAGAAAATGATACCACCAATGATGATACTACGGAAGCAAATGAAAGGTACGACAAATTTGATACGATAAGGATGCCGGTCGTACGTGTCTTGAGTAAAAGTCCTCCAAACGACGAGGGCATTGAGCCCGATACGGAACGAAGAAGAGGATCGGTAGCTCGATGCTGGAGTCTCGATTCTACCTTGCCGAGTGATGACGATACATCGAATAGTGTTTATCAACATAATCGACATAAACTAAGGGTCACGAGATGTTACAGTTCTGATAGTGCTGTATTGAGTGATGAGGATCAAGGAAAAGGTGATTTACTTAGATAAATTCCAGAAAAAAATATAAGTGAAAATAGAAAACTAAGGGAATTTGATTATTCCATCATATTAATCATGTTCAATCTTTGATGATCTTTTATTTTTAATTTTACTTTTTATATTTTTTCTAATATATATTTATTTACTTTTAGATGTCAGAACTATCAATTAATGGAATAAAAGATTATTTGTTCTTTTACAGGATGGGATTGTTTTAATGTGGTAGAAAGTAGCGAATGTGAATCTACTGAAGGACGACCAAGATATTGGAGAACACCAAGTGTGGTTGTTAGCGATTATTCGGATTATTCTTACTTAGATGAAAATTTTGAGAGAACCAATCTTGATGTCGAAAAATATGATGGAACGAGTGGCAGTCCAAGTCAAGCCAGTAGTTGTTCTTGTCTGGATTGTGATGAGATACAAGAGTCTTTAAATTTAAAGTTCCTTCAAGTTTGCCGTCTTCGTCGACATTCTGATTCCTGTTGTTTGTGCCTAGGGCAATCAAATACCACTTCTATGAGGTACTTTTATATATTATGATATATTAGGTTTTATTTAAATATTTGCATATATCCATATAAAAATAACAAACAAAAATTTTACTTGTTTCAGGAATTTACATGAAGCTGGGAACAGAAGAAATTCATGTGTGGAGACTACTGGTCCATATTACAGTAAATTTGATTCTCCAGTTCTTGAATATACAGATGATAATTCTTCTGAACTAAAAGACCAATCAAAAGTTGAATTATTAGATGTTCCATTTGTACGTAAAGTATCAGACTGTTCAACTACCTCCAGTTTAAGTGGAGATGACTGTGATATCTCTGAAGAACTTCAACCAGTTAAGTCTTTACGAGTAAGTATAATTAACTATAAATATAGTTGAAGATGTATACTCTGATCGCATTTTTTCATATTAGTTATATCCATTTTAATATAATTATGTATTTGTTATAGACATCTGGTTGGAAAAAACTGAGAAATGTTGTACACTGGGCTCCATTCTTTCAAATATATAAAAAACAACGATATCCATGGGTAAGTATTATATTAATATAATACAAATATCCTATAAGAATAAATATAATATAATTTCACATATTAAATATTTATTTCATAATCTTTCATTTAGGTACAATTAGCTGGACATCAAGGAAACTTTCGTGCTGGGCCTACACCAGGAACTATCTTAAAGAGATACTGCTCACAGGAAGAAGCTTGTTTCCGTTTACTAATGCGCGATATTCTGAGACCATATGTACCTGAATTTAAAGGAGTTTTGGATATTCGAGAATCTGAAGAAGAAAACTGTGAAGATTCTGAGTCAAAAACCAAGAATAAAGATGAAGATAAAAAAATAGAAAAGGGATCTATTGTTTGTTCATATATGCAACTTCAAGATCTTTTGGGAGAATTTGAACAACCTTGTGTGATGGATTGTAAAGTCGGAATACGAACATATCTTGAATCTGAATTGGCAAAAGCCAAAGAAAGACCTAAGGTACCATAGGATACAATATAACGAATACTGTATAAAATAATAATAATAATTAATAATAATAATAATAATAATAATAATAATAATAATAATAATAATAATAATAAACGTGATGAATTTACACAGAAAGGAAGACGTTATGTTTTATGTACAGTAGAATTTTTGTATAATTTTTTGTTATGTAGCTACGGAAAGACATGTATGAGAAAATGGTACAAATTGATCCCACTGCACCAAATGTCGAAGAACATCGATTACAGGGTGTCACAAAGCCAAGATATATGGTCTGGCGAGAAACAATTTCTAGTACGGCTACACTCGGATTTCGAGTTGAAGGTATAAAATTAGCAAATGGTGGATCTTCAAAAGATTTTAAAACAACTAAAACTCGTGAACAGGTTTGCAATTATATACTAGCTAATCAATCGTGTTTAAATAAAAAAATATTAAATATGACAACAAAAATACATATTATAATCTAAAGTTTTACCTTAGGTTACAGAAGCTCTTAAGCGTTTTGTTGAAGGTTATGTACACGTAGTTCCAAAATATTTACAACGCCTTAAAGCTATACGAACGACGCTAAAGGCATCCCCATTTTTTGCTTCACATGAAGTTGTTGGTTCGAGCTTATTGTTTGTACATGACGTTACAAGTGCCGGTATATGGATGATTGACTTCGCAAAAACATTGCCTCTACCACAACATTTATCTGAAATTCGTCACGACGTTGAATGGCAAGTGGGAAGTCACGAAGATGGTTATTTAATAGGTGTCAATAATCTCATTGACATATTCGAAGAAATAAGAAGTTCTCAAATATAACAAAGTTTATTTTAATACGCTAAGTGTAATAATGTGAGCATTTTGTTAATTTACCTGTTATAGCTGTTTGCTTTAACAGATACACTTAGCTTATGACTTCCTGTTATGCAATTTAATGTTATTAGTATATGTGTATTTATCTATGTAATATGGTAAGAACACATTGACTGTCTCTAATGATATCCTTGAAAAAAGGGTGAACCAAAGACGCGGTAGCTTGTGCTGCCTAGGTGTTCTAAATAGTTTTTTTTTTTCTTTTTTTTTTTTTCTATCAAAGGCAAAAACTTGTAAAAAGATAACTTAATATTTTCTTACATGTAAGTTTATTTATACTTAACACTACATATTTTCAAAACACAAGAGCAAATAGTGCTTTGTATTCAAATTATATCATGCATTTGTAAATACTCCATACATAATACAAATTTCGCGTATTTTTTCATTTATGCATCATATATTATCCATCGCCTCATTCCTATTCGTACAGAGCTATTGTTCTGTTGTGTTGCCCGAAAGTTTTGGAATTTCTGTGTGTTCAACATTTTCTGTTGTATATATTAAATACGATGCAACAATGAAGTGCTACATACTTTAACTAGGGTTTTACAAGTAAATCATACGAGATTTAGACCTGTAATAGTTTTAAAGTATTCAAAATATAAACGGCCGAAACAATGAAGAAGTATATAATAAAACAAACCATATTAATTTTGTCAAGGTGTGCTATGTGAATTGTTCTTTGATGGTTGTGTTTGAGCAGGTTGTTGTTGTTGTTGTTGTTGCTGTTGTTGTTGTTGTTGTTGTTGTTGTTGTTGTTGTTGTTGTTGTTGCTGCTGTTGCTGTTGATTTACTGTCGACTGAGTCGAAGAGATCGTTGTCGGCGCGATAACCCTAGCATAAACTGCAGCGCCTGTTGTCTTCAGTCCTGTAGGCGTTGGTATCACCTTGAGACCATGTAACGTTTTAATATTTAGCAACTGACTTGGTAGAATTATTGGTTGCTGTTGACTTTGTTGTTGTTGTGGGTTCTGCTGTTTTCCAAGAACTACATTTCCACTCCCACTTACTCCAACGCCAACACTCTTATTTCCACTTGCCAGGACAATAGGTTTTCCAGCAATTTGTGCTGTGACCATTCTGACTGTCTGAGTTTGAGGCGATTGAGATTGTTGATGTGTACTAGCAATAATTTTCGATTGTGCCGAAGATGTTTGATTCTGTGACACCACCTAATTTGACAAATAGAACAAATAGATAAATGTAAGTACATTATGTACATGTATACGTAATGCGTTTTACAATTATTTACAGTATTTTATATAAATACCTGGTACTGAGTTTGTATGACTTGTTTGCCTTGTCTATTTACTTGGTTAGTATGAGTAGCATTGGTTGCTAGTTTTAATCCCTTTTGTGCAAGTAAACTTTCTACTGAGATAAGTTGTCCTCCACCTGTACTAGTTAAAACCTTCGCCAATATTTTTTGTTGTTGCTGTTGCTGTTGTGATTGATGCGGAGATTGTTGTATTTGCACAGCAATCGGTTTACCGCTGATTTGTGCAATTATACGTTGCATTCCTGATGTCTGTATCTGTTGTTGGTTAGTTACGACTCTTTGTAGTTGTTGCTGTTGCTGCTGTTGTTGCTGCTGCTGTTGCTGTTGTTGTTGTTGCTGTTGTTGTTGTTGCTGTTGTTGCTGTTGCTGTTGCTGCTGCTGCTGCTGCTGCTGCTGCTGCTAATAGTACAAAAGGTTGATATTAATATAGAGTTAAGAAAAGTATTTCTATAAGTAGATCAATTCTTTTTTAATTTTACCTTTAATTGTTGTTGTTGTTGTAATTGTTGAGACTGATTATTGGATGGAGATGATTGTTTAATGAATATCGTTTGACCTTGAAGGCCATGTCCTGTGAGTAATGATTTTATTTGTCCTGAACTGACTAATTTTATTTGAGATGCCAGTAATGTTTTACCAGGCAATACGTGTGGTTGTTGAGATTGTTGTTTTATATTAGAAGTTTGCAAAATACTTTTCCCAGTTTGACTCGTTACTACAGTTTGTTGCTGTTGTTGACTTTGAACTTTAGCATTAGGAAATATTGTTGCTAAGTTTGTGGTAGTGCTTCCTATACAAGAACTAGTACTTGTTGAAGTAGGTTGAGCAGAATGAAGTACAGAATGCCCTGACAATCTTATAGTTTGCAGTCCCGCAGATGTGGACACTTGTATTTGATGATGAGGAAAATGCTGTTGACTTGACTGCAATAAACTTTGTGCTGCGTTAGTTTTTACTACAGCCACTGGTTTCCCTCCTATATTAGTTACTTTTTTAATTGCATTTGACGTTGTTAAAGTTTTAACTTCAGAAACGATATTATTTCTTTCTATGTTAGCTGTCGTAGTTAATGTAGAAGAGCTTGGAAGTGTAGTTACAGAAATGGTAGTACCAGTAGCGGTAGAAATGGCTGATGTTGGTGCATTAATTGTTGTTACTGTCGTTGTATTAACAACCGATTGTTCGGAAGAAGTTGGATGGTCAACAGTAATTTTTTCGTCAGTTTTACGTTGCTCTTTTCTATAATAACGCGTAAAAATTAGATTATCGTGGCTTATTATATTTTGGCTTTTTATTTTTATAGATTTTTTATATGTTATATTTACCGAGTTATAACTGGTTGTACCACAGTAACAGCGCGCCTTTCTTTTTTGGGTGTAGTTTCTTTGCTGCTATTAGGAGATTGTTCCTTATGTACAATAGGTTTAATAGATGGTTGTAATAATTTATTTCGTGACGTACTTCCTACGTTTTTTTTATTTTTTGCTACACCTTGTAGCTGTTGATGATACATTTCTAAAATATCGTTTAAAAATATAATTAGTTATGAAATAATATGTATTATATATATGTATTATATATATGTATATATATTTCTAATTGTTTCGATTGCATCTATGCAAGTATTATATGATTATAGTATGTGCGTGTGTGTATGTAATATGTAAGTATGAAATAATGAGAGAATGTAAGTACATACCAAATTCTGATTCTGAACGAGCTCTATGAAGATATAGCCACTCTTTTCGCCGAGGGTAATATCTAACGCATGGATCTGTTTCATAATGCAATCTGTCCAAAGCACCTGACACAACTGAATGTAAATACCCTTCTTTATCATCGCTCTCGCCTTGTTCTCTTATGTATTGAGAATCTTTTAATAATTGACATATGTCAGCACGAGTTCCTTCACCATTTGGTAATCGAGCTGTAGCATCTCTGACCAACGCTAAGATTGTTACAAAATTTGGTCGGTCGGCTACTAATAAAGAATGCCCTCGTGGTTTAGTTAATCCAGATCCTATTATTTAAAAAATGTTAAATATAACGAAAAAAGATAATTTCAGAAATATAAGTAATTTTAATTACTAATTGAGAACGCACCAACATTATGTTGATAAATGCCTTTGACAGGTCCTACTACAGATGCATATCCATGCATGCGATAAGTAAATGCTTTATGAGGTGCTGCATAGCGCATTCGTTCTTGTCTTCTAAATTCTTCACGTTCTTCGATTGTAGATGGTCGGACTTTCCATTCTGTAGGCCATAATGCTCGTGGTGGTTCCCATTCTGTAATAGATCCAAGAGAACTCGTATCGATATTAATTGATTCTACTGCAGGGCTTCCACTTCTAGTATTTCCATTGGTTGTACTGTTTCCATTGTTATTATTATTATTACTTGACGTCGATAATTGTGATATTTGTTTTACAGAAACTACACCAGATGAAATATAAGATGGCCCCAGTGAATCCCTGATAAAAAAAAATGTATATATATATATATATAGAAAAGAACAAAAAAATAGTAAATACTTTTGTATAAAGAAACTTTTAGGTACCTATGCATTAAAAATCTTGTACACAAATCTAATAAACGAGAATCCGAATCCCTGCCTGCACCAATCCAAGCATATACACCACTGCCTTTATTTTCTAAGTAGGGAACAAGTTCTTGTTCCCGTTCCTGTGATTGTTCCAATTCCTGAGAATATGTTAATTCACCAGCAAGAAATCCCAAAGCTAATGGAACTAACGATGGCCATGAAGATGCTAACGAATACCTACACAAATATGTACATAAAATTGTTTAAAATATTTAAATAGTTGTTAATATATATTATTGTATTTTTAAATTACATGTTTTTCCATACCAGTCATTTAGTGGTGAAATTGGATTGCCTTGCCATTGTGTAATAGCGTCCTTTATTTCTCCAGTACTCATTCTAAATTCTCCTTTAGAAGTGAAAGCATCTCTCAGCAAAGAAAAAAATGATGCATGAGTTTCTTGCATAAGTTCTGCTCCACTATTAACATCAATAGTATCTTCTGCACTAGGTACAGAAATTTCTTTATCTCTCATAGCCATAACATTTTCATTCTCACATCTTAAATAGAAAAAAGAAATGTACTGAAGATTTTGTTTCTTTATCTGAGGTAATAAGATATTATTGCAAAATATCTTTAACTTACTTCACATCATCAAGAATATCAATACCATCATCAAGTTGAATTGGTATTTGCATCATATCGATACTGCCTAAATCAAGTTCTTTTTTGTCATTTTCCTCATCTTCCTCTGTTTCTGGCATAACATCATCATTTGTGCCTGTATTAATCTCCGTTTTTATATCATCAAAGTCCATTTCTTCTACTTCTTTCTTAATTTCTAATGTGCTTGGAATAGATTTATTACTCCTAGGAGTAACAGGGCTCCTACGTAAAAAAAGATAAACATAAGAATAAATAATAATTATAAGAAACCTAAAATTTGTTAATTTTAAGTCATACATTTTTTTCTTTGATACTTGATGTATGTCATATACATCTATAGGTTCAGACTTTATGGGCGTCAGCTTGTGATCTATATCCACTGCATTAGAATGTCTATTATCATCTGTTGTATGAGAATAGTCACTGTTATCACTTTCATGTTTTGTAGAATTTGAATTTATTAATTTTGGTGCAGGTGGACAAAGTGTAGACTGTTCTAGTTTAATGCGTTTCTTAGCAGGAGTTATTCTTATAGAAGTATTAATTGAAAGCTTGTGCTTTTGGCCAGTCTGTGCTCTTTGAGTTAAGTCGGCAAGAGCAATGCCCTGAGTATTTAATTCAGGATGAATCTGAAAAGAAACGAAAAATAAAGATATTGCAAATTTCATAATTTAATTAATACATTAATAATATTCCAAGTTTTACATACATCATGATGTGCTCTTCTCTTTTTATGAGCTATTAACATTGCACGATATGCTTCTTCTGTTTGTTCACGAACAAATAACGATCTATTCGATGCGTAATCTGTTCGTTGGAACGTCGAAAATACAGGCCGAATTGTTTCATCTTCTTGATTGATCTGCAACCCTCTAATTGATAATCCTTGAAGACTCATGGTGGAGCGCTTTTTCTTCTTTTGTTTAGTTCCAGATAGTTGATAATATAAATAATTTTCTTCATTTTCAGATGTTGTGTCAGGTGCTAACCTTGCACTAGCTCCCAGTTCAGTCCTCAGGATACTCAGTTCCTCCAAATAGCGTAGCTGGGTTTTCTCTTCAACTATCAGTTGATTGCTTGTTAGTATTGTCTCCGGGAAGTTACTATATACTTCTCTGCCAAAAGGCTGAAGTGTGGGGCAAATGTAAACAGCCAGAAAAATTTTAGTATTTATCATAAGAGTAGTCACTTACCCATTGCTGGCTTTGGTTTCTTCCAATGAAATTTAGACATTGTTCGATGTACAGGCTGGCTAAAACCCTGTTTATATGCATTAGATAATAAACTCTCTCGTGATTTAAGTAACTGATTGGCAAGCTCGTATGATCTTTTGCGTTCTTCAAACAACAGTCTTTTTTGTTGTGCTTTATGTAGCAAACTGCGCATTCGTTTGATATCTGGTCTATAATAACCAGCTAAAAGGTGTTTATGAAATGCATCCAGTGTTGCAACTCCAAATCTAATTTAATTAATTTAATTAATAACAAAGTGTTTACAAATATTACATGTAAAAATCTAAACATCAAATTACCTATGATCCTCTCTATCAAATAACATTTGCAATGTTCTTTCCATTTCAGCTTCGATATCACAATCTTTTGGAAAAATTGGTAAGAAGCTATATAAAGATTCTCTTTGATTTTCACTAAGGCATTCATTCCAAAAATATGGGTAATCTAATAACTCTTTGAAGATAGCAGAATCTTCGCAAAGATCTTGTGGAAGTTTCAGTCGAATATTCGCAGCCACACAAGTTTCCCACCTCTGAAAATAAAATTGTAAGAGATATTTTGTATAAAATATCATTTTACTGATATATTTTATATACTTACTAGAGCATCTGAACTTTCTGCTTTTACTGAATATTCAGTATTTTCATTTTCATCGTCATCTTCATCTGGAGAACTATGACTATCTGTATCACTAGAATCCCGTTCTTCTCCACTGTCTTCTCCACTATCAGTTGAAGTACTACTGCCGCTCATCCCACTACTACTACTATTACTTACTGATCCATGAGTAGAAGCTTCATCTTCATCTTCTTCTCCTCCAGTATCTCCACCAGCTGAACAATCATCTACCTAATTAAAAATAAAAATAAAAACTAAGGATATCAAGTATTAACACATCATATCCTCCTTAAAATAACATAATTCTACAGCTATCTATTCATAAAAGATTTTTAATAATAATTTACATTATATATAGTCTATTGTATTGAATGGGATAATTATTGATATAGAAAAAGATAATAGTAAAAGTATCTCATTTAGAAAATTTCATACCATTAAACATATACATAATCTGTTTTAATTAGATGAAATATGATCTGTATTAAAATTAATTTTGATATTATTCATGAAAACCAACCTCCATATTCTTCAGTTTTTTCACGTTTCCTTCTTTCGTATTGATACTTATAAAAATATTAAAGTAATACAGTTATTATGACTGTAAAATTGAAATGAACGTCGACAAAATATTTAACTTCGTTTTTATACGAAGAAACTAATATAAGATATTAAAGTATTAAACGTAATCTTATTATTCATTGTTTGATTTGTCATAGTTACTGAATTCCTATTGTTTCGATAAATACTAATCATTGCGATGCATATACAATCAGAATCACAGTATTTACATAGAAAAAATTGTCTGCACACACATTTTTCGTATTTTTGAATCAATGATAAATATTGAGTATTTAATATTTTTATGTTTTACTTCAATAATAAAGAAATATACTAAAAACGTTCTGTATTTAGACCATCATCTTTATTGGAAACTAAGAGGGCGCTAGCAAAGAAAGATAACTTATATATGTATGTAAGTAATTAATGTTATTGATTACATAATTTCATCAAATTAAACTTATTAATTTTATAGTATTAAATTTATTGAGACAATTAATAACATTCATAATATATTATTAATAAAATTTAAAGAATTATTATTTTTGCAATTCATCTGTATTGCGGTTAGAGATTTTTATGATTTTTATGTCACGCTCTATATTATCGACAGTTTATTATAAAAACAGCACTGTCAATATTGGTGGAAGTTAAAACCATCAATTAATCATGAATTTGATTATTGTTCAAAATTTTCCGAAACATATTTACTATTTATAGAAAAATAGAATGCACATATACCTATTTATAAAAAAATATATAATTTGCATTAGGAAACATTATAGTTTAAAAAATAAAGTATGCATTTTTTAATTATGCTAACATATTATTTATAACAATGATTTTTTATAAATATTAATTTAAATGGAACAATATAACATGATCATCATTATAGTCAATAACAATGAATAATTTTTCGGCAAATTTCATCAACATTCGATCGTTTTTAATAAATTTTAACTTCATATTTTATTTTCCACTAGAGAAATAGTTTTAACAAGGTAATTTTATAATTTTTATATAATCACAATTATAATATCACATTGAGGCAAGAATCTAACAATGAAATGTACAAATGAATAATAGAAAATATAATATTAAAACTAAAAAAATTATTAGCTTGATTTACATTATATGAAATTGCACCTTTTATACCATCTAATATAATTTTTGTGCTTATATCAAAAGTAATATCAAATATTAATATTTAAAAATATCAGAATTAATATTTTTATTCTGAATATTTAAATCTAGACCTTGATATGTTATATTTATATGTTTGATTTTCTCATGATTATTGTAATATATTGGCAAGAATAATATTTTATATAATATACATATAACAAGAATGCATCAAAAACTTGTTAATTTTATCACAAATAACACAATATTTTTGTTATACTTAAAAAAGATATTAAGTGACATTTTGATATATTTGACAATATTAACACTCCTAAATAAAATTATAATCGTAAAACAAGCCAAATAACTCTTACAGTTCTGTAATGTTTAAAATATATGTTATCTTAATAATATTTATATGTTAGTAGTATATTACATAAAAAAGCTATAAGAGTATTTATATTTTGCTTTAAAAATGTAAGTAATATGTAAAACTTATTTCAATTAATATAAGTACGTATCATTAACAAGAAACATCAAAATATTAGTATATATTAAATAACAATAAAATCATATATATGTCAAAAAATAGATATTACTTATTTACATTTTTCATAAAGAATAGCCACTATATATTTTAAATTTGTATGAAATAGAAAATTCCAGTAAAAAATAAAAAATATACATTTTCTTTAAGAATCATTTTGAGCTCTGTAATTCATTAAGAAATCCTCTGATATAAATTATATTGAATGTTGTAAAGCATGATGTTCGAGCTTAAACTTTATTAAGAATTGATGCTTACTTGCCCCAACGTTATTTTGATGAAACTGTACATTATTTTATTTTATTTGATAAATAAAAACACTGAATAAAATAAAAATAATAAATACTCTCGTCTCTCTCTCTTTCTCAATATTTTCATAGATTTTTGTGTTTACGACTTGTAGAATGTATACTATAAGAATGCCTCAGGTAATTTTATGTTTATAATACAAATTTATAATATACATATATAAGTAACATATATACGTATATGTAACTTATAAATGAAATCTAATCAATTGTGAAAATAATTAATAATTAAATTCTAATTATTCAGAAAAAAGTTAAAGTAATTTGCCTTCGAATATGATGCTATGGTTCAAAGTGATAAAAAAGCATAATAATAGTGTATATAATAAAAATCTTATACAGATTAAAATTATTACAACTTTTTGAAAATGTAATATATCTTATAATTTGTAACTAATTCTAACAACCCTGCCAAAAGAAAATGAACACTTTCATAAAGCGGTTTTATCTTTTACTAGTACCTATGCACCCTTTAGATTAATTTAACAATTCTATCATTACAGATTCTTGTATTATGTTTTATGTTCTAAACCATTTGTAAATGACATGATGGCATGTTCTTGAGTAATAGCTGCCAATTCTTTCAACCATTCATCTAATACAACTGCACATAATACTATATTTTGTACTGAGGTTATTTCACTTGGAGACTCCCACGATGATCTGATATAATACCTATTAATACAAATTTTTCGTATTAAATATTACGCAATTTTTATCTTTTAAAAATGCTTAAATATATAAATCTTACCGGTAACCTGTCCCAAATCCTACAGATTCTAATTGATTCTCTGATATACTAGATGGTTGACTGATAGAATTTGTTAAACTAACTGAGCCAGATGTATTGCTTGCTCTTCTGAACATTTGTGTAAAGGACGATGTTAAGCTTCTCCTTTTAGGTTCACCTAAACAGTTAGAAGTGATATGAAAAATAAACATTAATAATATGTTGGTACCTGCAACCTTTTTATATTCACCTATGTTATATAAATATTTTCAAAATAGAGTACTTCTTCATGGTAACCAATACATGCGTTACACACATGTCCGTATGCATTAAAGATAAACAAGATGATAAAATATATGCCTAAACTTTAAATTATGTTTAGGAAAGAAATGATACCTCTTAAAAATGAGTCGCTTGTTAAGGAATTCCTCTTACTGCATGCAAACTGTGCAGTAGCTTCTAATGCATTTTTGCGTGCATTTACTAATCTATCTTCGCGACCAATTAAAAATGATCTAGCTTGGTCTACTAATAGGTCGACATTATCGTGTTTGAATAAATATTGGTCTATTTTACGCTTTAAAGATGCAAGTACCTATAAAAAGTATATCAAATATCAATAAAAAATTAGTTTATATAATACTTAAATTATGATATATTAATGATAGCATTAACTGACCTGAAATAATGATCTAATACTAGGCTGGAACACCAATGAATGATTCAATAAAAATGATTGTAACAATGGTTGTGGATAAATTGCTAATCTACTTATAAGACCAGTTAAATGTAAATTGACATATAGATTATTGCTTGTCATACATTCCAATTTTCTTAAAATAACATCCAAAAATATACCAACATTTGGTTGTCCATTAAATATGTCTTGACGACATGCGGTATCTTTGCTTTGTTTACTTATCATTAATTCTTCTGATATTAGAGAATTAGATTCTACAATATCATGGAAAAGTACATTAGGCTCATGATTGCATTCTACATTTATTTCTTCATGTTCATTTATTTGATTTGCATTTGGCTCATTTTCTAGTGTTGATTCTGATGATCCTTTAAATGCAAAACTTTCATAACCACTACTTTCTCCCAATGATAACAGAGAATTCATAGCTGTATTTGAATCATCAATACCACTATCAGAACCTTTTTTATCTCCTGTTAATAATGTTTCAACAACAGGTTCTGAAGAACCTATATTTTCATTTAATAATTCAGCAATATCAGCATCTAATTTAGCTTGTTCCTCAAGTGATAATACTACATCTGATGTTACTGGCAAATCCGTATTGAATGTTTTTTTTGTTAATTCTTTATTTTCTAATAAATTTTGAATATTAGCTAATATATTATCTGTAAAAATATTTTCTTTTATATCAATCGTAGTAGTTGAATGTGTTTCTGAAGACTGTGCCACATTTTTTTCTATTTTTTTTGTTGATTGATCAAGTAATATATTTTCATCTGTTAAAGTAACTGCACTTCCAGTATTGCTATCTTTAGATATCTCTCCATCGTAACGAGATGACCAGTTACAACATGCTATCCTACAAGCTGTTATCTTTTGTCTAGCATCACAAAGATAAGCATGATAATTTCCATATAGACTGTCTGATATTCTGGTACCATAATTTATTGACAATGGTAATGATTTTAATGCATCAGATGTGTTATTTAAAGATTCTTCACGAGAAACTGACAAAGTGCTTGGTAATGAAGTAGGTGATGTTGCCAAAGGAGAAAATGGAGAACAACAGCTTGGTATTAAAGCTAAAAATTTTTCGGCACCACGTCCAAAAGGATCTATATCTTTCAATCTTCGGCGCTGAGATAACATTACATGAGAACAAGGGCTCAATGCCCCTAAACATAGCTCCAACATTACATCCTCGCAGTTTAAGTTAATCAAGGTTTCAAACAATCCCAAAGTTACAATACATAACTATAAAAAGAGAAACATTTAAAAATATACAATATTATAATACAAGAATACTATAATTATATTAAACCTTATTTAGAAAGAATATAATAAAATATATGTTAGATATGTACCCTTGATCTAGAAGATATTCTTTGTATAAGACTATCCAATATCCTACATTCGTCATAGTTATCTTCAAGTAAAAATCTAACTAATGATCTCAATAGACCTGGTTCTGTTACGGATCGAAGAAACAAATCAAAGTAAGCTGTAGCTGCTACTAATTCATCCACAGTTGTCTAAAAATATTACAGAGAAAAATTATACAAAATTATTAGATTGTTATTAAAATTAATAAAAAACACTTTCAAATTATTAATTCTTACAAATGTCACAGTAAAAAAGAATAATCTTGACAATTTTTTTATTAATTTTTTAAAGAGTAATAAAATTTAAAAATTTGCTATCTTATGTATTAAAAAATTATTTAGTGCTATTGTTTAATCTGGTAAACTTTAAAAAAAAATGTAGATACATATTTGTTTTATGTGATAAAAGAAGGGTACTCAGAGATAAATACAAAAGTTTTATATTAGCATTTTGTTAAAAAAAAAAAGATAGTTAAATGGCTTAAGTAATTAACTTAAAATACTGTGCTAAAAAGTAAAATAAAATGAATAAATATTAAAATTTAATTGTTAAGAGAAACCAGTACCATTTACTTAAAATAACCTTA